ATTTAATATTATTAATAAGCTTTTTAATTTATTTTATAAAATATGATGTATCAGAAGTGATGATACAGCCTATATATCAATATATAAAAGTAACATAATACAGCCGCACCCTAAATGCACACAATCTAAGTGCACGGTGTATGAAAAACTCCTCTAAGTGCACTCCCTCTTGATAAATTGTCGCAGCTGATGCTGAAATTTTGGAGTCTCAATTTAGAACTATAAAACCTCATCTATACACTTGAATTAATAAACCCTAACCCCAAACTCTAATTAAACAATTAAATAAAGACTAAAAAAATATACTCCAAAAAATTTTAAAAATTTAATAACAAAATAGTCAAAATTTCAGCATCAACTGCAACACAAATTTAACCCTTCTAAATGCACACACTCTCTAAGTACACATTTTGTCTTTTTTTATTATGGTCCCGAGGGCGTGCACTTAGAGGGGTGCGACTGTACATCCCAAACACATCAGTTTAGTTGGGACGCTCTCTTCGAACCATCCACCTCATCTAGGGATTGGAACCGCTTAAAATTTTCTCAATCGTTAATCGTTTAACCGTATTAACTGTTTAATTCAGCCAGCATTAAAATTGACCTGGCCTATGATCAACTTAATTCGGCCGGCACTATAAAAACTTTTAAGCGGTTAAACGGTTCCAATCCCTAACCTCATCACTGCATGGTCACATAACAGACATATTTTTCATAATAATGTAACCATGCAGTCCTAAAAAAAAAAAAAGAAGAAATTTATTAATGATTTTTTCGGATCGGGTTCAGGTTGACTGGATATGACCAGTGCATTAATTTAAACTGAGGCAATCAATTTCTAATATATCCTTATTCGCAATTATAAAACAAACTAAACTCTTTAGTAGAATAATAATCTTTACTAAGTATTTATTATAAATTGTTACAATCAATATAAATAATATTTAATTAGATATTTCGTACGTATTACAATTAACCTTCATGTGTCTCGTTATCATGATTATCTATTTGTGCAGCCGATGCATCTACATTTTCTGATTCCTGCGAGTAAAGAGAAAGAAAATTAGCTTTTTTAAAATTATAACAACTATTTGTCATTCTCGATAAATGCAGTCATGTAATTAATTATAATGTGCATCATGAGCACTCAAATACAATATGCTTGCGACTGATAAGCAATTGACAAAATGGTCTGCATTTATAGCCATCTGTATTTACTAAGTAAAGTTTGGAACCGATTTTAATATATGAAAAATAAAACCGATTCCAACCCTTATTATTAAGAATCAATATAAAACCTACATTAGGTTCTTGACTAGGTTCTTGATTAGATTCCTGATTAGGTTCTTGATTAGGTTCTTGATTAGATTCGGTATTATCATTATCACGAGGAAATCCTCCAGGCATAATTAGTTCTTGATCCTGCGCTGGTAAATTTTCACCATTATCATCGTTATCATGAGTTCCTACAAGTAATCCAATCAATCTTTCTGCAGCAGCTTGTAAATTTGTAACATCAGCTATTTGATGTATACGCTCAGCAAGCATACGAACATTTCCATTCTATAATAAATTAATTGAATTAGTATTGTAAAATCATATTATCTCTTATTTGATCGTTTGATACCAACACTTACAGGTACTCTATCCAAAAATGTGCGTAAATCATCCGCGAGAACGTTTTCAAAATCTGCAATACGTGTAAAAGTTGATGATGTATTTACATAAGGGCTAATACCATCAGATGGAGGTAATGGATCATATAAATTAATCTCTCTATTCGCTATTTCCGGTAGTTGACTGATAAATTTAGAGTTTTCTAATATATAATATATGTAATACGTTAATAATAGACTAATTAATAATAAATTAAATAAACATCAATAATATACCTGAAACGACAATGTATCTACTCAAATCTAACGGAGCTGGACCATTGAATAAATTTTCTCTGATATTTTTTCCATGTCCAAAAGCTTCATTAAATTCATCATGTGCCATACAAGCTAAATTATACATTAAATAATAATATCTTAAATTCATCCCAATTTATTTAAAGTAAGAAACATAAAGTATATTCACAAACCTTTATAAGATGGAATTTGTTGCTTCACAAATACATTACATAGCGCTGTTTGGAGCCAACTAATAACCTAAATAATAAATTTATTGGTGTTTGCTCTTATAAGAGAATTCGAGGGGCAATAGAAGGTTTTATTAAAACATACTTCAGGTTGTGCCCATAATGGCGAAGCTTGATCCACATAAAGATCTATCAATAAGTCCAAATAGTCTGAAGTTGGTCTGTAATTAGAATTTATCAAAAAAAATAAATAATAAGTTAAAATAAAACGCAATATATAAATTACCATACATACGTTTCTAGAAAAAATGGATCCTCAGCAACATTAGAATCAAGTTGAATATCACATTTTTCAGCCAATGGTAGAATCATTGTAGGAAAATAAAGAATAGCTCTTTCCAACATTGCCGTGCTGACATCATGTATCTGTAATATATAAAAAAAAAAATTTTTAAAAAAATATTCAATGATAAATATATACTAATTATTATTAAATTTAACAAAATCATAATCAATTTTCTCATATTTACGGGATTCTTATTATCAATTTGTAACTCCAATTGAAATTGAGCCAATGCAGCAGAATAAGCAAAATTTGGCCAATTTTTTAAATCATGATGACTCCACTCATTTGCCATAGATAACACATATGAATATTGACGAGCCTTTAATCCAATATAATCAATAAAACGTAACGCACATAAAGGATCATTTATCGGATCCAAAGAAAGTAATAATTTAGAGAACTCAAAGGATGTTTGCCAGCATCCACGACGAGATAATGATTGTACGTGACGAAATAGAGCAAGGAAAAATGCCCTGAATCAAATATAAAAAATTATGCAAGCAAATTTAAAATGTAAAGTTATTTAGAATATCAGAATATCATTAAATATATATATATATATAATTATATAAAAGTAAGTACCTATTTTCATAACGTTTATAACTCATTCGAGAAGTTCCTCTCGTTATATTAAATTTTATATGAAAATTTCTTTCAAATGCGTACAATGCACGTTCCAGAAATTCTTGTGCCATCACTAGATCACTAGACATTTTGTAAATCTCACTCATTTGTAATAATGAATCTATATGATATGGATTATCTCGTAAAAGAGCATAGATCGTATTTGGGTCTATGATAAAAAAAATTCTATAATTAATAATGATACAAAAATAATATATATATGTATAAAGATATAAATTTATGTAATGAATAAATACCATGAGTAGCTACACACTGTATAAAAGACATCTGGATAGATTGATATTGCAGAGAATGAGTGAAAGTGAAATAAAGAATTCCATCTTTCTCCTCTAATAATTCCATTCCAAGACCACACTTTATGATAGGAGGCCAATTTTGTCTTGGTTTTGCCAGTGCAGTCTTTTTAACAGTTCGTGCATAATTTCGACCACGAATCTCTCTATCAACCTGTAAATCTAATAATTGTGAGGTTATCATACCCAACATAAAAGTAACGCAGAAAATTTAAATAAATTAGAAACTAATGAGTAAATATACTCACAACTACAGAAGAAAACATTCTTCTCATTTCTCCATCATCGTCTAATAAACGAGTGTCAACAACCAGAAATGAAATATTTGATGGAGCAGGAGATGAAGAACTATTATTAACGGCAGATTCATCTTTTAATTGCAGTGATGAATCACCAAATCTAAAAAGTGCAATAAATAAATAAATTTAGTTGAATAATTTTTTACGATAAACTAATTATAAAAAACTAATTATAAAAAAACCAAAGATCACTGATTACTTTTCTGAAACTTCTCGAATTAAAGATTCCAATTCTGAGTCATTCATTTCTTCAACTTTCTTTCCTGATTTAGTCTTTTTATCCGAATCTTTGGTCGTAGCCTTTGTGGACATACTTTTTTGCTTTTTCTTTTTCTTTTTTTTCGAAGACACACTCACTGATGAGGATGAATCTTTTGAGCTTGGCTAAATTATTCAATGATTCTATTAAAATAAAGTCAAATAGGTATTACCAAATATTATATAATACAAACCTTTTCAGTCATATTTTCATTTTCAGAATTTTGATCAACGTCTTCATTCTCTTCATTTCCTTCATTTAGCTGAATCAGTCAATTTTTAATAAGTAATTGAATCAAAAATACGTATTCTGTAAAATGGAAAATTTTTAACGTACTAAATCAAATAAATTTTTTTTCGGACGTTCTTGATCTGAATCATCGATAATTTCTTCAGAATCATCATTTACATGTTTTAAAGAAAGTGAATCTTCTTTATTTACAGCTCTTTTAAAAGCACGACTGGACATTTTTTTTTTTTTTCGAGAATTCTATTGTCAAGAATCTAAACTGGTATTTTACAAAAATATTATAAAATTTAATATGTGTCTTACAAATAATAGATTAATTTCGTCAGTTATTACACTATTGCCACCCACCAGACAAGGAAGAGGATAAAATTTTAAAACTCGAATTATCCATAATGATAAGGTCGAAAATTAAGTTGTTACACTAACGCTAGTCTTCTGATCTAAGCTAATCACATGATAATCTAGGCCAAATTTAGTTACCATATTCGAACGCTACTCAATATTTGATAGCAGTGTATTTGAAGCAGAAAATATAGGACGATATAAAAGGAATAATAAATCTGTACATAAGGAGTGAGTCAATTGAATAAACTTTTTAATGCAGTAATATTTATCAAATTTGAATTAGACTGTTCGTTCAACGTTTTAAAAAAATTTTCAGAAAAAAAAATTTACTCTGATTTATTCTCGTATCATTTCTAATATAACATATATATATAATTTTTTTATTACACTTAGTAAACCGAAAAATTTTAATTAGCGTAAAATTAAAAACCCAATCTTCGAAATATTAAATATACTTAATATAATTTCTAGTTTTATATATAGAAGGTGCCTAGAAAGATCTCAAAGTGAATAAACTTTCTATTGATCTAATTCGGAATTTTTACTTGAAGAAAAAAACTAAATGATGATTGAAAATTCGAGTTGATGCCAAATGATGATACGTACGCGAATTTGATTCCAATCACTTCAGTCTTTATTTGCAAATGATAACAGTTACGAGATTTCATAAAAAATGAAAACTTGATCTTAACATTTAAACATGGCAATGTATGGTAAAAACAGTAAAATCGAAAATATAAAGAAAGAATTTCTGATATTTATTGTAGAGATTGGAATCGGTGAATAATTATTCGGGCATCGATCAAAAATTTCGAGCATCGAAATAAACTTCATTCATTGAGTTTTAATTCAATCAATCATCGAGCATCGGTCAAAATTAAAATTTAACTATTGTTTTGATAGTGATAAATTTTGTGATTTATTATTAAATAATGATTTCATAATTTTTGATTTAATAAATTTTTCAAATTGACGTTATTAAAAAACATGGAAATATTGAACGAAAATATTGCTTCTTTTGCTGAAGCTCCCGCAGAGTTCTCTTTTAATATGAATCGATTTACATTAATGTTCCAGTTTGTGAAGAACAAAAATCAAATACAGAGGAGGCTATTGCTGATAATTCTAAAAAACGAAAATTAGATGTACGTGGTGGGTCTAAGAAGCGATCCTGGGTTTGGCAGCATTTTAATTCAATTGTAGTAATCGATAAAGATGGCAAAGAAGCCCAATATGGTGAATGTCAAATAATGAAAGATAATAATGTACGATGTGCTCAAAAAATCAAAGTTGTGGGTGGATCAACTTCAAACCTTATTCATCATCTTTATTCAATACATGGAATCACGGTACTGTTTTACAAATTGATATTATTTATTGCTATATTATATCATACGACCTTTTAATTTATTATTTTTATTAGAATAATTTAACTACTAATTCCAAAATTCATTCAAAACCCAAGAATGATTTTCTTATTCGATCTTTATTAAAATTTATCATTCGTGAAAATATGCCGCTTAGTCTTGTATCAAAGGAATCATTTAAAGAATTTGTTCATGATCTTGATTCAGCATTTTTAATGCCATGTGAAAAAACTGTGAACCGACTCATTTATATTACTTATAATTATTCAGTGGATTTATTAAAAAACCAGCTAGAATTAACTGGCAAAACTGTGTGTTTGACATTGGATTTATGGACAGCTCGAAATCAACAAGGTTTTTTAGAAATCACATGTTTATGGATAGATGAAAGTTTTAAAATTCATGAAGTTCTTCTTACTTTGACTTACTTAAAATATCCACATATGGCAAACAATATATATAGTGCTATCAATAATCAAATTAAATATTGGAGATTAACAGACAAGATTTTTACAATCACATCAGATAATGGGGCGAATGTAAAGGCTGCGATAAATCAAATAGAAGGAGTTAGTAGAATGCCTTGTACAGCACACACACTTCAGCTGGTAATTGGCAAGGGTCTTTTACCAGCTGAAGTGTTTATAGCTCATGCAAAATGATTGATAACTTTTTTTATGAGTCCCAAACAAGACGTTAGATTAAAAAATGCACAAAGAAGTTTGCAAATTCCAGAAAATAATGTAAGAATAAATAAATATTTTATTTTTATTTTTTTTTAAATTTAATTAACTATTTTTTAAATTATATATATAGATAATTCAGGATACTAAAGAATATCTTCGCTTAAAATGTGATGTTTTAACTCGCTGGAATTTATCTTTTTTAGCATGGGAACGACTTCCTTCAGTTAAAGATTACATTGACATTGTTTTAATTATGTTAAGCAAAGATAATTCACTAGATGCACGTCAAGATTATAAGTGTCTTAAAAAAATTATGTTTACGGATGATGAGTGGAGTTTAATGAATGATTTAACTGATTTACTTAGTCCATTTAATGAATATACAGAATATTTTAGTGGTAGTGAATATGTTACAATTAGCATGATGCATCCATTAATTACTGCTCTTATGGTTAAGCTATGTCCTATTACTCAAGACTTTAATACAACTTTAGATTTCAATTCAGATGATATTGCATTTGATGACAATCTTGAATACAAGGATGACGATGAAGAAACTATAGTTGGACCAAAAAAACAACAAATCAAAATCAATACATCTACAAATACAAGTGGATTACTGAATCGTGTAAAATTATCTCTTTACAATGCATTACTTTATTATTGGCCAACTCCTGATACAAATGTATATCTTGCATGTCTATTGGATCCAAGATGTAAAAGATTACATTTTTTATCACCTAATGAGCGAAATCAAGCTAATGAAACTTTACGTACTGCATATGCAAAGTTTAAAGAACAACACTATTCATCTAAGCAAGTTACTTTATCAGCATCCGATTCAACTAATAAAAATGAAAAGCAAGTTTACCGGAAAAGATTTATTAAATCCGTCTTTTCTTCAAGCTCTCAAAACCAAGATGATAACGAAATTCCAAATTATCTTGCTCTTCCTGAGCTTGATTTCAAAGAAGACCCTGTGGTGTGGTGGTCTTTACAAAAACGAAAATTTCCAATTTTAAGTGAAATGGCCCGAAAATTTCTTGCTGTTCCTGCAACAAGCACACCAAGTGAATGCTTGTTCTCAGATGCAGGAAATGTTATGAGTGCAAAGAGAACATTATTAAAGCCAAAGTTATTTGGCAGAATGATATTTCTAAAACGTAATATGAAATCGATTGGTTTTACTATTCCTGAGATTTAGGATTAGTGTAATGTTGTTTTTTAATGCGCAAAACATCAAATTGCAAGTCATAGAAATTTATATTAAATAATATAGCGACAGCAGTACAATTGATAAATTTAATGTATATTAAATAATATAGCAATAGCATTATAATAGATAAATTTGATATATACAGTATATTAAATAATATATCAATAGCAGTACAATTGATAAATTTAAAAATGTAGTGATAGCAGTGCAATCAATAAATTAAATATTATACTAAATTTTTTTTATGTTTTTAAAAATTTATTGAACATTCGAACATCGGTCAAAATTTTTTACCGATACTCGAAATTCTAGAGTTTGTGATCAACCGATGCTCAAAACTCATCGATTCCAATCTCTAATTTATTGTTGGAATTATGATTATGTTGAAATTTTGTCAGATTTTATTATGAAATTGTAAAATTTTTTAGAGCCATTTTTGTGGACTTTTTTTTTACAGTTAGGTTAGGGTTTTATTAATAAAAGAGAATATGTGGATTTTAGTAGGTATCATAGGTTAAATAGAAACCCAAATTTCAGCATAATCCCCACATTTATTTAAAATGCAAAATGCTGTAATATGAAAAATGTTAAAAAAAATACCATAACTATTATTTATAATATTCTATTTCTAACATGGTTTTAGTGGTTAAATACTATTGTTAACATTTTTGTTTTGAATTTAGGTTATATTAGACTTTTACTGTAAATTCTGCTTCAATTATTATTATTATTATTATTATTAGTTAATTTTTTCTAATAAACAATATTTAAGTATAATAATAAATTTAATTACAAAATTTTTAATTCAAGTAAAAAAATTCAGGTATTAGCTTTAGAATAAATAATCTTGATTTTTCCGATATATAATAAACTTGACACAATAGAGCTCCGTGTTTAATTGCAGAGTTTTACGCTTCATACTAAGGGATGGTGAAAAAAAAAGGGTTAAATAGTTTTTTATTAAACATTTTTTTATTGTTTTTAAAACATCGAAGTCTGAAATAAAATTTTTGCTGAGACTGAAAATATTGTTTCTAATTAATTAATTTCAATTTTTAGCTGTGAAATTTTTTTAAAAAGGGCGGTGCTATATAATTTCGAATTTATTAGATATTACGAAAAAAATATTATTATTATATTTTGTCGCTTTAATTTCTATCAAAGCTATCGATCGCTATTATCTTTAAATGAGAAATTTCTTTCATTCTATATTAGTTTTACATTGTTGGTATCTAAAGTCCAAGGTTTACATTGTTGCCACTACGTAAATAAGATTTATGAATTATTTGAAGAACCAGAATCCTGTTTTTGAGTTTTTAATAAATCTTGTATATTTCTTGATGACCTTTTAAGTTGTCAACTAAGTTAACACAGTCTTCATCGCAATATTTACATTTTCTACGTAGTATTGTTTGATCATGTTTATCAGGTTCAGCAACTTTTGTAAAGTTTAAACAGATTCTTTTGACGGTCTTCCACGAACATGAAGAATTGTTTTGAAGAATTTCTTTTTTTTTTTTTTTTTGAATTTTAGTAAGGCCAGGCAAAATTAATTTTTTGGTTATAACCCGGCCGGGTAGAATTTAAAATTTATGAGGTACAGTA